ATTTACAAGATATTATCCCATATCAAATGAAATCCCTATTTCAAATGGCCTAACAAGTTAGGCAACAACCCCGAAAAAAGAAACCCTAATTTTTTATGTTCCAACCATCCCAACATTGGGCATATGACTGAGGAACTCTAAAGTAGCACTTGGAGGAATTAGTCTGAGCCGAGCACCTCACATAATTCATTAATGAGGAAAAGATGAAGACCAAGATAACAACAAAGAAATATGTAAACCATAGCCATTGATAAAACTCAATAGGGGTTATTGATATCATTCATGTTGCCTTAGATCCAAACATGATGACAAACAAAGTGACTAGGACACATATCTAGAAAGTTGCACAGATTAGGAAAATTTACCAAGTCAGGAACAACCCCGAGCATACCATCAAAAAACACAAAACTAGTTAATTGGATGGACTTATCAGCTTCTCTAACAATGAGTTGATGGGGATCCACCACCTGCATAACAACGTTTTGATTTTGACTATCTGGATAGCAAATTTCAACGTAAAGAGAATCTTGATACATCATGGGAGCACCTCAAAATTCATGTATTTGGGATTATTCCATAAGCTTGGCCTCAAAGTTGAAGATCTGAAAATCATCAACACTTTACTAATAGGTTTCAATGGAAAGATAGGTCTGTCAAAAGGAATGATAACCCTACCCGTCCGAGCCGGGCAAGTTGGGACAATGACCGAGTTCTTAGTTTTTGATGCTGACTCGGTTTACAACCCCATTATGGGACATACTTGGTTGTATAAATTAAAACGGTTGCTTTAACTTACCACCAAATCCTGAGGTTTTCGATACACAAAGGAGTTGCTAACATATGAGGAGACCAAGTAAGTGTGAGAAGTTGTTTTTTTGCTTCCAAAAGAGGAAGAGGTATGAAAGAAGATTAGAATGTTGAGCTAGAGTCAGAATCGACACAAAAATAACAATAAAAGTATGAACGGTCAGGCCTAGAAGATCCCTGACAAGTCTGGCTGAGAGTTTTGTGGAAGACTTGAAGATAGTGTATTTAGAAGGACATATCAAGAATTACTTCTTGATCAAATCGTCATTTACAGAGCACGAGTAGAGGGCTCTAAAAAATCTACTAAAGAGAAATATAGATGTGTTCGCTCGGAGTCCTATTGAAATGCCAAGCATTAACCCCAATTTTTTTTTTTCATCATTTGACTGTCGATCCAAACTTCAAGCCGATCAAACAGAAGCAAAAGAGATCAACATAGTAGCTAATGGAGGCTGTTAACAAAGAAGTCAAAAAGTTGCTGGAGGCATGCTCAATTAAGAAGATTATGTATCCATATTGTTTACCCAATATTATGGTGGTCATGAAGAAGAATGGAGGGTTTGTCTGGATTTCATGGACCTCAACTAGTTGATGCTAAATCAGAGCATGAGCAAATGAGTTTCCTTGATGCTTACAAAGGCTACCACCGAATCCCACTCTTGGAGTCCGATCAGGAGAAAACCTCATTCATCACACCATAAAGGGTCTAATACTACAAGGTGGTGCTATTTAGATTTAAGAATGTAGGGAAATACCAATGATTGGTTACAAAAATGTTCAAAGGGATGCTAGGAAGCACTATAGAAGTGTACATTGATGATATGATTGTTCGATAAAATTCCTAGGTTTCTTGGTCATCGAGCAAGGAATTGAGGCTAACCCCTACCAGTTTAGGTCCCTAATTGAACTCTAGTCACCGAAGACAGTTAAGCATACATAATGGCGAACTGGTATAGCTCTGCACTCAATAGGTTCATATCTAGGTCTTTAGACAAGTGTAAGTCATTCTTCCAAGCACTAAGAATAGTGTGGACCCAAGAATTTGAGGATGCTTTCAAAGACCTGAAGTTATATATGGTGGTACCTCCCTTATTGACAATTCCTGCGCAGGATAATAGTTACACCTCTACGTAGTCCTCTCCAAGCACGCCATGAGAGAAACACTAATGAAGAAATCTCAAATGGAGATAAAAACCAGTCTGCTACATAAGCAAAACACTTCTTGATGCATAAACTAAGTATCTGCTAGTGGAAAAACTAACCCTAGCCCTAGTTAACTCGGTAATAAAATTAACACATTACTTCTAGGCTCGTGTAGTTATGGTCCCAATAGATCAACCACTGAAGGCACTATTCAGAAAGGCCGACCTATTCGGGAGAATATTGATGTGGGTGTAGACCTAGGAGAATATGACACTAACTTCAAACCTCGAACTTGCATTAAACGATAAGTGATTGTCGACTTTTTGGCAGAGCTTACCCTTGGGACCTATGGATTCCCTAATCAACTTTAGAAGCCTCTAAGTATCGAGGAGTATGAAGTTGGGGGGAAGACGTAGCCAAATAGAAGACCTTAGAGCATAGAGGCCCTTGGAAGGTTTTCATGGACGGCTTATCAAATCATAAAGGAGTTGGTGTAGAGATAGTCTTAGAATACCAGAAGGAGACATGCTAGAGAAGGCAATGACACTAGAATTCAGCGCGTCCAAGAATGAACCAGAGTATAAGGCCCTTCTAGCAAGAGTAAGACTCGCGGCACATTTTGGCACCGAACAATTAGACATCTACGACAATTCTCAACCTGTTGTAAACCAATTTAAAGGGGAATACATGGCAAAGGATGAATGTGTGATATCATAACATAAATTGACTATCACAAAGCTAGTAGGATCCCTAGTGTAGCTATGTAGTAGGTTGCAAAGGCCAAGATTCACAAACTGATGCCCTAGCTGCCCTAGCATCGGCCCGCGGGGAGAATCTTACCAGGACGATCCTTATGGAGAACCAAAACTGATCGAGCATAAAACAAGGAGTATCAACGACATTTTTTTTCACTAAGCTAGGCCTTAGTTAAATAAAACCAATTGTATAGTTCCTCAAGGAAGTACAACTCCCGACGATAGAAAATAAGCTCATAAGCTGAGATTGAAAGCAGCTAAATTTTGGATATCACCGGATAGAAAGCTCTATAGAAGATGCTTTGCATGTCAATACTTGGTCTTTGTACATCCAAATAAAGTTTAGAATTTCCTTTTCGAGATTCATAAATAAAGTTGTGGAGCTCACTCAAGAGGAAGGTCCTAAGTACACTGAGAAATTTTCCAAGGGTACTGGTGGCCCTATATACAAAATGATGCCTAGAGATATGTAATACAATTTGAGAAGTGCCAGAAATTCTCCCCCATATCGAGACAACCAGTGCAAGACTTGAATCCATTGGGTAGCCCATAGCCTTTCGCTAGTGGGGGTTAGACATTGTTGGACCCATGTTAAAGGCACCCAGGAACAAGAAGTACCTTCTTGTGGGAACATACTACTTTACAAAAATGGTGGAAGCCAAACCCATTGCTCTCATATCAGACACAGATACGAAAAAATTTGTTGGGAAAAATATGATCACAAGGTTTGGTATCCCAAGGACGTTGGTCTATGATAACGACACCTAGTTCGAAAGTGGACCATTCAAAGCATTATGCCAACATTATAGGATTAGAATTCACTACTCCTCCCCTACATATCCACAAAGTAATGGGCAAGGAGACATCTCAACAAGACAATTATTAAGGGGATTATGAAAAGGTTGGAGAAAGACAAAGGAAAATGGGTAGAAGAGATGTCGAGAAAAGTAGTATGCAGACATCTCAATGGAGAAACCCATTTGTGCTGGCCAATGGGATGGAAGTTCTGATCCATTTAGAATTCAGTTTGCACACTCTTAAATCTAATCTAGTCAATAGTGGGAAGAATACGAAAGTGATTGCCAAAGATCAGGATTTGGCAAATGACAAAAGAGAATTAGCAGCCATAAGGGTAGCTTCTTACTAATAGCAAATAGCCCGAGCTTATAACAAAAATGTAAGATCAAGGGGATTCTGTGCAGGCGACCTAGTCCTGAGAAGAATTATGGGCCCCATAAAAAACCTCGGGAAAGGGAAGCTTGGGGCCAACTAAGAGGGGCCCTACAAAATTACCCTAGTCAAAGGCTCCAGATCTTACAAACTCGAGACCACGGAAGGAAAAGCAATTATGCATCCCTCGAATACCATGAATCTCTGAAAATACTAGTTTTGAAGTAACTTCAAAGACAGGACAAGATTGCAAAACCTCTAATCAACAATATAGGAATGCCTCCACCAAAGATCGACCTGAAGTACCTTCAAGGTAATCTTGTTAGTCTATTAAAATATATAAAGCAACCTTTTCAATGAATAAAAATCTTGATTATAGAACAATTTTTTGTTCCTTTTGATATATTTGGAATCGATTGCACAATGAAGCATTGCTAAAAGAAAAGAAACAAGTCCTAAAAATGAAATTCTAGGTAGAATACCTAGGAAGGCCCATGAATAATTCAACCTACTACCAAGGCATTGAGGGAAAAAATCCTAACAAAGGCAAAGACCTAGCTTAGGTGTAGCCACCCAATCAGGGTTAGGCCTAGAACTAGGCACGACGATATAAGTTCAAAGGGTAAAGCGCTGAGTCCAATTAGATAGGTGGATTAGTATTAATGTTGGAATATAGTAACCAGGGTCAAATGCCCTAGCCCTTCTTTGAGGACAAAGCCTCAATGCTAGGGGAAAATGGGGACCTATCAGTTATTTTTTCTAAGTGTCTAAGGCCCTAGCCCTTCTTTGAGGATCGAGCTTCAATTGTAGGGAGAAGGGGGACCTATCAGTTAGTTTTTCTAAGTGTAAAATGCCCTAGCCCTACTTTGAGGACCGAGCCTCAATGCTAGAGGAGAAGGGGAACCTATAAGTTAATTTTTTCCTTAGTATAAAGGCCCTAGCCCTTGTTTGAGGACCGAGTCTCAAAGCTGTAAGTGTAAAAGGCCCTAGCCCTTGTTTGTCGAGTTAGTCTCAATGCTAGGGGAAATGGGACCTATCAATTATTTTTTCTAAATGTAAAAAATCATTCTTAAAATCCAAAAAATAATGATTTAAAAAGGGAACCTCAAAATACTAAATAAGAACCTAAATTTCTTTTGAAGAAATTACAGTAAGTGGATTAATAGGGTCAGCAATAATAGAAGGATCAATAGGATCAGCGACAGAAGAATCAATAGGACCAGTGGCAAGAGAATTGACAACAGCGTTGTTGGTCCTAGAAAGCTTGGCAAGAGGATCAGCTGGAGGAAGGGACGCACCTGAAAAGGAAGAGATGGTCACAACATGCTTAGAGAAGAGCTCAAAGTCAGTAGGGACCTTAGCTTCCACCAAGGTAGCATCCCATGCTTTGTTAAAAAAGAACCCTTCAATCATGGGAATATGCATTTCGGTGGCCTTCTCAACTTTCTCAAAGCCATCATCATAAGTCTTATCCTTAACTTCTTGAAGTGAAGCTTGAAGGGTCTCTAAGCTAAATCACGAGTCACCTTCTTAGATTGTTAGGATGCTTTCAGTTTTTGGCCGAGCTCCTCATTCTAATCAAATGATTTTTGAATTTCAGTTTGGAGTTGAGCCATCTCTTTGAAAGCCTTTGTAGAGTCCTCTTCCAAATGCCCACACTTCTCCATGGCCAACGACTTCGAGAGAAAAGCCTTATTTACCTCCTTGTTCCTATTGATAGCTCGAGCCCGCAAATCAAACACTCGGTGCATTCCATAAATGAAACCAAACAGAAAAGGGTTAAGTATTAGGAAAAGGATAATCCTAGAAAGCCAAGGAACTATCAAGGGCTAATCACCAACATTAGCTAAATGGCACTTCGAGCCAAAGAACCATAATCTAAATCCTCAAAAATGCATAACCGCAACATCAACATTGTTGATCGCCGAACTCTAGAGTGAATGTCCCTACCTTGAGCTATCATCCGACGTTCCAGACCCCCCAGCTTCATCAACATATGGCTTAACGGTGGCTTTCATCTTCTTAGCAGTGATTTTCCTTCAAACCATCTCAATAATAGAGGCAGAATCCTTTGCTAGGTCATCGTCATCTCCTGCCTCGATTAATGTAGGCTAACATTCCATCAAAGGGACAAAGGGAGTCTCTTGTGAAGAGGGTGGGCTAATTGTGCAACAAGAGGGGTAAGTCTGGTCTGTATGTTCTGAGGATAGACCGCCATTATTGAAGTACCCAAATCGGATGTCATACCTAAATTTGACCCAAGCACTAGGTTGATGAAGTTCCTCACGACTCTCTCTCATCCCATCCCTCTCTTCTTGGTGCTCTTTGGTGATGTAGACACTTCCCTCACCTGAGTAGCCCTCAAAGTTGCCAACTGTAGAAAAGATAGTGAAGGAACTATTACGAAGGACTTGTAGGTGGGTTCGTATCCCAGAAGCACATGCACAGCATAGCACAAAGCATTTGTAGCCCCAAACTCCAAACTTTCTGCAGATTTCAGAAGTTGACGCTCAAGTCAAGCACCTTGTCTTTTACAAAATCTACTACAACATATTCGGAGCTAAAAACAAATCACAACTAAAAACGATAAGGAAAAGAAGGGCACAGTTGAAAATCACTTGGTGCACCCTCCTCAAACGGATAATTGTAGTGAGGCTCCTCACCCTCTTGATGTTCCCAATTCCAGGAGACAAACAGAACATCATTTTCATTGTCTTTTTTTGAGTCAAGAAGGTGCGTGACCAAATAATGGTTGATTTTCTTAACCCTAAAATAATAATTATTCTTAGAGTGGGGGTGATCGTATAATAATAGAGGATTTGCTAGAGACCTAAGTTGGTGTCAAGGATGTTGTTTAAAGCAACAGCCCTCACAACTATCCTGAAGAAGTTTGGACAACATTGGATTGGGCAAAGTTTCAATGGGTGAAGGGCCCAGAGGAGAAAAGGTTGGAGGGGGAACCTAACCCCACCCTCTGTCATGGCTTTAGTTGGGATGGGAATGGATTCCCTAGATCCTAATAAAGGTTCAACCTCACCCTCCAATCTAATGAACACGCCATCTGAGATGACATACTTGGATCAAAAATTAGCTATCTCTTCTCTCTTTAAAGGAGCCATTGAAGAAAAAAGAAAGGAGAAAGCACTTATAGAAATACAGAAATTTTGAAAGCTCAAAAATAGATGAAAATGAAGGAAATAGAAAGATAAGGAACATGACCCTTTAAAAAGAACTCAAAAGATGCCAAAATGGAAACAACTATAGACAGAAGGACACTCATAATAAATGATTGTATATGTTTGTACAAAAGGAAAAGATGTGTAGAGCATCTTTTCGCAACAATCAATCCGAAATGATGAAAAACCAGAGAGTGTTAGGCAATGTTTTCCAGATGACAAATATTCTCTACGGGGCAAGTGAATGGGCATAAATGATTGCGCATGATTAACCAAGTCAACAAGTCCACATGGCAAGGACACGTGCACCAGAAGAAAGATGCTCAATGACCGAGCATTAAACCTCAACGCTTGGCAAAAGGACCGAACAACAATTAAAAGTACTATATTAAATAGGCCGAAGCTATTAACCGAACCAAGCTTCAGAAAAAATTGATCCATGTCACCAAGAATAGTCTCCTAAAGATAGCAACAAGATAATCCCGAGCAATCAAAGGTAATGGTAGATTGACAAGGAATTTTCCCAAATTATAGGAATGCATTATAAATATGCTAAAGGAGACAAAAATGAAGGAGATGAGGGCTGAAATGGAGAGGAATCAGGCTATCTTTGTAGGTATGCCACCTAGCATAGCTAAAAGGCAAGAACCTTAGAAGAAGGGAGAGAATCCAATATTATAAATACAAGACAACTACTTAAGTTAAAGGTACACACTTCTTCCCAGCTATATTCGTTCTATTTACTGCTAGACCCTTTACTGATTTAAGCATCAGAGTACATTCTACCGGTCTAACCCTAGTCGTTGACACTCAAACTTTGACTGTAAAACACTAAGGTGAGAGATTTTATATATATATATATATATATATATATATATATATATAAAGACCATGCAAATGAGTGATGTGCATAGCTCATTTGCTTCTGTGATAGATAATGTATGTAACACATTATTTATGTGCAGCTAGTTGACACATTTTGTGTGTGCATGTGCGCGTGCACGTTCATGTGTAACACTATGTGTGGCTGAGCATATGTGTCTATTATAGTATGTGTGCATGTGGGTGTACCATGTTCCTCTATGCTTAGGAGATACAAACAAAAGAAATCTATTATAAAGGTATCACCATTGGAAGATGATACTTTATAGCATTGTGCATCACAGAATGGGTGTGGCATGGTGACTGGTGACTGTAGAGTGCATCCGAGAGAGAGAGAGACAAACAAACAGACAGAGAGAGGACAATACTTACGTCACAGAGATTGGACTAGGAAGCTGGGTGAGGCAAGAGGAGATCGATTATCACAGAGAGAGAGAGAGAGGAGTTACCAGTCGGAGGAGAGAGATCATAGATCGACTGAACTACAGTCGAGTGTCGTCACCTAAGATCTGTAATCTCATCGTCACCTAGATCTTGTCATCGCCTAAGGTTGAGAATGAGAGACTGAAAGATGGGTATGAGAGGTTAGGGCAATTTTGCCCCAAAATATGCCTTTTACACTGGGTTTGACCCGCCCGATTCCATTAAATCATTCGGTTCATTGATTGTTTGATTAAATCGATCGGTTCACTAGTTTTTTGATGGTTCTCTTACCCAACTGATCCAATAGCTGACTGGACTAGTTTAGCACCCTGTTCACAGTTTATCGGTCGGACTAGTCTGTCTGGTTCTGATAACACTACTTTACAGATTTAAATGCACATTAGGAATATCAAGGATAAACCACAACCCACTATCGCTGATCATTATTTAGGGGTAGTTCTATATTATGACAATAATTATGATTGTTCATCAATCTCTTTGTAACCAATAGTTAGGTGGATTACTAGTAGTATCTCCTTTTTAATCATAATTTTCCATCTCTTTTGCACACATTTGTCCATCAACTTTGTTATATCCAAGGATGACATTGAATCACGCTTGTGCAATCGCCTTATATATCCCTTCAAGGTGTTTTGATCCGTTGGGGCGTGATTTTTCACCAATAGCGTGATGCATAGAACTTCGCCTGTTTGTGGAGTTGGGTGCCTTACGGTTCGTGTTACAATGTGTGTATGTTAGTGTGTGTGTGTGTGTGTGAGAGAGAGAGAGAGAGAGTGAATGAGAGTTTGAAAGAACATTTTTGAGTTACGAGAGAGGAAAAGAGTACCTAGGGTGTAGTTATCATGAAGAATAGACAAAAAGGACCAAAAAAAAAAGAAGGGAGAAAACAGTGGAAAAGTCCAATCTTTCAAAAATATTTGAAATGAAAAATTACTTTTAGTGCCTAATAAGTTCTATTGCCAAACAGAAAGACTTTCTCCGATGAACTAAACTCGCCATTGAATTTGCAACCATTGACAAAAAAGAAAAAGAAAAAGCACGGCTTCTAGGAACATATAGTGAGACTTCTTTTGGAATGACAGTCCACAATTAATGTAAATTGTTATTGCCAAAAAATGAACTTTTAGTTTTTGGTGACGAAAAGCTAGGTTCGTCACTTAAAGTATTTTTTGTATGATGATTTTATGTATTTCATGGAAAGTCATTGCCAAAAAAAAAAGAAGTATTTTTTGTAGAGGTTTAGAATAGTTTTTGACAGCTTACAGAGAATGGGGGACAAATAAGCACCAGTGGAGCTACAAAAGAGGTTGGTGCCCAACCTCAATTTTTTCAAATAAATATATATATTTGTGTGTGTGTAAGTTTGTGTGCATATATACATATCTATATAATAAAATAAATAAATTGTTTGTCTTAAGTTTTTCTTAGCTTAGATCGTTTTGATACGATGGTTCTAATTGAATTTTTATTTTTTTTATAACTCTAAAACTCTCTTCTCTCATATACCTCTTTTTATCTATCTATCTTATACTCTCTCTCTTTCATACTGTTATCTTTTTTTTGTTTTCTTGTTATTTTTATTATTATTTACACCATAAAATAAATCAAACTACATGTTATACATTTATTTATTTCATGAAACTAATTTAAATTTTTTATATATCTTACTTCTTAATTTGTAAATAACATTTAATATAAATAAAAAATAGCAAATTGACTATAAATACCAAATAATATTTAACAACGAAATGAATCTTAAGTTGTAAATTAATATATAATTTTATCAAAAGTTGACATTTAATTTTTTCTAATTAATATCAAATTAATTTTTATTGTTAACTAATTAACATTAAAATTCATTTAATCAATTTTTCGTATTACTAATTATATCAAATTGTTGGGTACTAAATTAAATTTTATTTGATTTTATTAACTTTTTAATTTTTTTGATACTAAAATTGAAGAAGGAAAATTGTAAAAATAATAAAATTTTTGAGATAAAATTATCAATTTTTGTTAGTAACATTGACAGAAGGAGACAAAGAAGGTCTCCATGTAAAGAATTGTAAATCTCAGGGGTCTTCGTGTTATTTATAAAATATTAAGAGGTTTTCGTGTAATATTACTAAAACTCAGGGGATGTTCGTGATTTTTACCCTATTTTTTAATTAAAAATTAATTAATTATTATTTTATCTTAAAATTTTAAATTATTATATTTCTAATAAAAGCAGTTATTGGTTATGAGGGTATGTTATCAATAAAAAAAAGAAATTTTTGTGGGTGTATTTCTGTGTATATTATTTATATATAAATGATTTGACATTTAGTGATTAAATTTATAATTATATTATGTCATTTGAGGTTGAATAATGATAATGATGATAAATTCATGAGTTTTCTAAATGAGCAAGATTTGATTGATTTTATTTATCACTTAAATATTATGAATTTAATTATTTTTTGTTAGTTTTTTATTTTTTTTACTTGAGGTA